GTGTGACAGTAGCTGCTGCTGCCACAAGGCTGAGAGAAGTCAGTCAGCGGGATCCCTGCTCCTGCAGCTATTTGCATGTTTCACATGAGCCGATCATTGAATGGGCAGAGACAGGTAAATCATGGGAACTCGTGGCCATGGGCAATCATGGGATTTGCTGCTTGCCAAGGGGACGTGGCAACAAGTGGCTCAAAGACATGCGGAAATTGTGTCTTTACAGAAGTAAGATTCCTAGGCTTGGCTTTTTGACTTCCTTCCCCGTCGCTACTGAGAGCATCTACAGCCCGGCTTGCCATCGATCTACCATGCTGAGGGCGGATTTCTTTTTACCAGGCAATTCATTCATAGTTCTCTGACGAGAAGGAAGATCAATAAGGTAACAGAAGTGGTTCAGGGAAGAGAAGAAATGAGACTTAAATATAGTGATTACCAAAGGATCTCTTTACTCCAGGCACCGCGTGCACAGAGATTCGCTCCTCCCTGGCCTCGGCTCATTCATCCTGGCTACACACAACCTGTCCTGAACAAGGTCACCTGCACATCCTTCCTGCTGGATTCTGCAGCGTATACAAAGGATACACATTCATTCAGCAGCAGCAAACCCAATTATGTGTAATTATAGTAATGCTAGGAGAGAAACCTCCATAGTATATAAAACATGGAAATAAGCCATAAAATGCAGGGCATCTGAAATGAGAGCTCAGGGTCACAGGCAAAATTCAAATGCAGTGTCTCGATTTAAAAAAAAGGAAAAAAAAAAATATCAATCAGTAGGGTCTCCCAAGGCATTTCACCTCTAATTGAAGAGTGAATTGTGTTTACTTACCTGCTCATGTTCTTGACTATCTCTCAGCAAATGAATCGTGATTACACTACATAAAATTCAGTGTTTGGCTTTCTTATGATCCCACGGGACTGGATTCCACACTTTAAGGCACATATGCAAAAAAAGATTGAACTCTGAAAGATATCTGTTCATTGTATAGAAAAGAAAAATTTTTATTTCAAATATGGGTTGTAGCCCTTCCAGTTCCTGCTTCCACAGCTGAAGTGGGTAAAGGAAAAGCCACCTGTCTTAAAGTTAAAATAAAAGCTGTTTCACATTCAGATTAATAATGGTCAAGGGCATTGTAGGCTGCTGTCATCTTGAGTGTACCTAAAATCGTACTATGACGCACACAGATTTTACACACAGAAGGATCTCGGGCTTTTTCATGATGAGTATGCATAATTCTGGAGTGCTCAACTCCTACCTATCTTAAAGGTGTTCAAAACTGATCAAAAATGCAGCTTAAGCGGAAAACGACACAGGCTTTTCCTGGTAAACACATTTGTGACTCAAATGTTGTCACCATTGAAGCAGAATGAGGGACTCCATGCAGCATTTATGAATGAAGAATAATTTATCAGAACAAGCTGGGAACTTGAGTGAACATGGACATAATAATGAGAAACACCACAGGAATTTAAAAAAAAAAAAGTTCTAAAAACTTCTGGCAAACCACTGTGCTGCATGTTTCAAGAGCCAAACCCCCAAAGATATTATTCGTCCCCACTACTTGAACATGATAGAGTAGATTCTTGGGTTGTCATTTTTTCATTGCAAAACTGCTCTATAGCTGGTGTACCAATACTCGGGTAGAGTATCTCTATGTAGCAGAAGCGTTGCTGGGTACTGTGGTTGCGACATCAGTAGCAACTGATCTTCCAGCAAGTGGATGGGATATAATGGGATATCTCTGTCTTCTTATCTACAACTGTCGTATGGCCTCTCGAAGAGGTATGACTTAGCAGACGCTTGTAGCAGTGGTGAATTGTGTTTGTGACATTGCTGGTCCAAGGGATAGGAAAAGCACAAACCTAGTTTAAGATGATCTGGTACATCACTCATTGAACACTTTCTGGGTGACTATGCTACAATTTCTAATTGGTCTTAGCCGCTATGGTACTACATGCTAAGACACAGGTATGTTGTCTTCTCATCAAACTCCCATATGCCCGTTAAGCATCATTCCCCCATGAGTTTCACCTGAAACAAGGCAATGTAGAACCAAAGCAAAGTTCACTCACTCAGAAACAGAGAGGAGACCAAGCAGGTGGTAGAAACATGACCTTTCTCCATGAGGTCAAATAGCTTTATTGTGATTAAGCACTACAATACAGTATATATCCATAAAAAAACTCTATAGTGTATATAAATTATTCCTTCCATTCAGTAATTCTTTTTTTGTTTTTATTTTTTTCATTTCCATTACAGCTTTGGTACAATGTGATTTTCATTATATTTTTAAATACTTTTAGCTTCACAAACTCAACACAAAGTACAAAACTAATCCGAATCAGGGATATTACAATCTACACAGTGGTGTTCAGTGGTAGGAAAAAATCTTACCTCAATGAATTCATGTCACTAGCTAAGCTATAAAGGCATACCTAGCAGACATGACAAAAATATGCACCATTAACCAGCAAACATTTTTTTTTTCAAAATTTATTTTATTTTTATTTTTTTACAGGTTTTTCCAGCAGCAAATCACTTGAGCATAGTCAGTACTTATGTCCTCAACTGATTATCCTGTTGTGTTCCTCTTCATTTGAAGGCCATGAGTTATTTGTCAAATAATGCACCGCTATCCTCGTACATCCACACTAAGCCACAGTGTCAGTACTTGACCTGCCACCCTGCGTTGTTAATGCTCGCACAGTTTGTCCTGCAGCTGGCAGAAATAACTGGAACGTTATTGGAGGGGCAGTGTGGGGCAATCAACCGTAGGTTGTTCTGTGGGGCAGGAGGTATGACATTACAGTAGACAGGCATTCCAGTGGCTGTAAGTGTTCCTTGACCTGATTGATTAGGTAGCATGATTGGTTGTTGATATGATTGTTGTGGCAATCCTTGAGAACCCTGGGTCATTGGCACCTAGGTAGCAATGTGGAAAGACGTAAGGAAAAAAAAAAAAAAGTAATTACTAAGCAAATTAAAGTAGGTCCCAAGTATCCCTATCTTCCTTCTAGCTGAATTTGCATATACAACATGTTCTGCCAAAATGTGTCGTTTTCTGCTGCTCAGAACAGTTCTCATCCCTGAGGATTTTCTTTGTTAGAGAAGGGTTAAAGAGAAATCCCTCTGCTCCCGGGTATAGTAAGTGGCTCTGTCGTGATCTAGCTCAATATGAATTTCTGGGATCAGTGCAAACACTATATCTAGGCCATTTAAAAGGTCTAAACCTTTAACTTAATCATTAACCTTTAAAACACATTTTCAGTACAGTAATTCTGAAGATGTAAGGGGAAAATTTTACCCACAAGCAATTCCCCCATTTCCACCTGGGTTGCTGCAGTGTTTTCAGGGAAGCCAAGGGAAAAGGCGAATGGCTGCTCAATCAGTGCAATCTATTAAAATGAATTAGATGTCATTTAGTTTCTTAACTTTCTAGAGGGACCAGCAGGAAACGTAAGCACAGGCCACCTCTCACAGCCTCTTGGCATATCTTACGGAAACCAGGTATAAGGTTGGAGAAGTAAGTCTGGATAACTTATGGACTTGGTAAAAATCAAGCCACTGCCTTCCCTCTCCCCAAAACCCAATAAACAAAAATCTATCTGGCTACAGCTTGTTATTGAGGACATGGTGAAACCCTTGGCAAGAGTCTCCACAGATGAGCAATTTTTAACTGGTTCAAGCAAAGCCCTCAACTTCATTACAGGAAACATCACTGCACTGGCAAAAAAAAAAAAAACAAGAACAATGTTCTGTCTTTTATTTTTTTAAATTTATTTTCTTCACAGGAAGAAGTTTAATTCTTTCATCATTTGTGACATTTTACCCGCACTGCAGGCTGTAATAAATAGTTCATTTGAAGTATTCCCAACTCAGAATGAAAATCAGGAGTACTAAGAATACGTAAACAGGAAGCAAAGAAACCACTTTGACTTAGAAGCATATTTATCAGGAGGCCTCCTGCCACACGCTGTCCTAATGAAATAATAAAGACCATTCTGCGCTACGAAAATTCAATTCAATTAAGGACTCTCCAAGCAAAGCAGTCTTTCTTTAGGGCTCCCAAGTACCTGATAAGACGACATGGCTGGATACTGCACCATCATGCCTTGCACCTGATTTCCCTGTTGATTATTCATCAGGTTCTGGCTTTGGGGCGGCTGCTGCATTCCCATAAGACCCTGGAACCCCTGCTGCTGGTTTGGCAGGACAGGCTGGTAACCTGGAAGAAGAAAGATGTCTTCAAATACCCTGTCGCGGGAAAATTAAAACTGTTCTCAGGAACAGCAAACAGCCCCATCATTTTTCCCTGCATTTGTCGAAAAGTTGCTCTGTTTTTAAAGAAGCATTACTGGAAGTGAAAAATTGAAGGGGAATAAACAAATGCTGTGAGTTGACAGCCCTGCCAGGCTTACATGAGTGGGCAGCATGCTTTCCTTATGATCTTCAACCCTGCGGCAGAGACCACCTTGAGGGATGCCCGACTTCAGCACAGGATTGTAAAGCCCTGAACAAGACACAGGGTGCTTCTGGCTACTTTCTCAGAGGCAAAACTCCCACTAGCTTCAAGGACACCAGTATTTGGCCTTCACAGTCTAATCTGGTAGTTTTCTTTCAGGCCACGTTTCTTATCTTACCCTCTTACCATTCTTGTAATGCAGCTCCCTAGCATGATGTAAACAGAGAAGGCTTTATTGAATCAAGAACATCTGTATACACACTGGCTCCTACACGCCAGGCTTTTTATACGATTAGAGTATATTAAGGGTCATATTCCACCCTACTAGTTTAGTGTTTGGCAAAAGAGGAAAATCATAAATTAGGGAGTGTCTGGTCCTCCCTGTTGTTTGGTGGAAACCCTGCTGACACACAAGTGACCGCACAGGGATGAGAAGCTGATGCTTCTGTTTCAACCTGTGATCGGCTCTGTGTTCAAAGTCACCACAACATTGCAGGTTTTCTGCTGGGACGGCTCTTTTAGGACTAACTGAGAAACGGGCAAAGTCTGGATGATCAGGAGGGCAAAGCTGCTAATGAGGCAGAAGCCTGCACGGGAAGCGAAGTGCAAGCAGTGCGCTGCTTGGCAGAGACACAATCCAGCCTGAGAATGAGCCTTGCTGGATGGAAGTGGGCCTGCTGGGCGATGCTGCTGTTTAGAGATGAAGGATTTTGTAGAAAAAGTGGGAAAGGAAAGGTGCAGAAAGATCCTGTCCTTGAAAAATGCAGCCAGCCACAGTCATTATAAAACTATGAATAATTTCTCTTTAAGGCATTCTTTGTCCTTTAGCACTCGTATTTTTTAACATGCAGTTATGTAGTGCACTATTAACTCTGTAGTGATGTTCTCAGAATAAGCATATTTCAGGCAAAGAAGAATTATCAGAAGGAGCGATGCAGTGTTATTTTTATATGAAAAATGTGTGTCACGTCTGCTCAATTTATATTCATGAATACAGTACACGGTTCAATATACTTCACGAATTGGAAATCATCACCTGGGTATTTCTTCATTATGTAAGAAAAATAAAGTAACAAATGTTTCTGTTCCTGCTGGTCTATTGTCAACTGACAGCTTTCCTTCAAAGACTTTTCTGATGCCAGAGAAGTGTCCCGTATCTCTGATCAATTTTTTGGCATTAAAGATGCCTTTCCACAGATATGAGATTAACATCTCCAGTCAACTGAGCAAAATAAAAAAAAATAATTCCATGAGTGATTAACTTGGCTGGGATATAGCATCTCCCAAATGCACCAGATTATTATACATTCAAATTTGCTCTTTTACTATGCACAAACACAGTGTCAGCATATTTTTAAGTCACAAACATTACCAACATCAGAAGCGCTGTAACTGAGTTTCAGAAGGCTTATACAGCAATAATAAAATTGCTCTTCTGCTCCAATATACCAATTGGGGTGGGGGGAGAGGGGGAGAAAGGAGAGAAATAAAAAATTTAGCACTACTATTCTGGTATTTGCAAGACTGGAAGTTTAAGCAGAAAGGAGGAAACTGACAGCGGAAGCAGCAACAGATAATTCATCTCATGTCACTTGCAGTTGTCAAAGTAAGTCCCAGATGTTGCAATGAACAATAGATTGATGGTGGACCAGGGATCAAGTGACACTAAGTGGGGAAATGCAATCAAACATCAGATCTGGGCTCACAGAGTTGGACTGTGATGCACTGGCACAGGGCGGTGGACTGGTGCTCTGCAGAGACAGACAGACACCCCTGGGGTCAAATAGAGAAAAGCGCTTCTATTACCTCTAGTAAATATAATTGCATTAACATTACTTTAGTCAGTCTACTGCTGATATTCTGCTGTATGTTTGGACATACAGCTGTCACTTTACCTCGGCTTTGTGTTCTGTATTCTCCAAATGCAACGAATTTATTGCCCAATACAGACACGTCTATCAAACTGAAACAAGAAATTATGGAAATTACGAAGTATTTACCCTTATGCTGAGCATGTAGGCATCATCTCATGGAGGTATTACAATAACATGTAACTCTGCCCTGGAAGTCTGCTCTGTATTAGCAAACACTGCTTAGGTATGTGCCACAACCACTCCACGTTTTAGGTGCAGGAATACAAAAAGGGATGGGTTAAGAACTGAGGTCCACTACGCTATGGGTTATTATTTTAACAATCTTTTTACTCTTCAAGGACTTCAGCCGTTTCTTCTGCCCACAGGACATGTACATCCTGTCCCAACATGCAGAGTCTTGCTTACACTCCTGAGAGTCAGGAGAAGACCTCTTTCCTACTCCTTCTGCAAGCCCTTTACAACGCTCTGACCACAGGGAGGGCCTCAATACTAACAGAAAAAAAAAATGCACATGCACTCTAACACACTTCTAATGTGATTAGATGGGAGCAAAGAGGTATTAACATAAGAATCTGATTGCATTGTCTCCTGAACCCTCTTTGCTGTTAAGGGAAATTAAGTCACTTCTTTGGCCCAGAAGGAGGTACCACGGTCTCTCGACCGTTTGCTCCCTTGACTTGTGGGTGGAAACGATGTTTAAGAAGGTTACTGGCCTGCTTGTATCCTTGCAAAGATGCTGGCTGTCATCTCTTCCTCACTTAATATTCATGGACTTCTTTTTTATGATCAGTACCCTTTGGGATACAATGAAGTTATGCATGTCAGACCTTGCTGCAGAACCCCCTACAGCACTTCGTCAAAATCCAGCATCCTCTTCAAGGCTCTGCAACTCAAGTGAACCCACTTTACTTTACCTGATAGCAAAGTCTGACCCTTTACTACGTTAAATATATGAAGAAAGATGCAAGTTCATCTATTCCATTGAACAGAAAAACCCGACAACGTACAAAGATACTCTGTACCCTGTCTGCACTGTTGGAGTGTATTAAAAGTTGAATAAATTTCTTTACCTACAACAAGCTCTGTAAGAGCAAAATGCTGTGGAAAAAAAAAACAAAGAAGCCCAAATCCATTCTGTTAGACAGCTTCTGTTTCAGCACAAATGCAAGGGGAAGAAAGTGGCACTTTATGTGGCAATCCACTTGAATAAGAAGTTGTTAATATCAGAAACCAGCTGCTCTGAATTTCCTACCTCTGCAGCCCAAATTCTGCAGCTCTGACTCTGCATGCCACATAACATTTGAAACGGATCCTTCAGTATTTACTGTGTTTTGATGTCTTCATATGTTTTTGCGCACTGGCCAGGAAAAGAATGGGGATGGGAGAATTGAGACTCTGCATAAGTGATAGTCTTAATATATCAACCTTTCAGCAATTTTTGTGAAACTATATCATTCTAGCAAATCTTTCTTTTTTTTTTTTCTGAAGGCATAGCCTATCAGAGATCACTATTTCCCCCAAAATTATTTATTTTGTGCACACACAGCAGTTTCAATTCTCGACTCAGCTCCGCCATGCTTTTGACATGCTATTTATTTTTCAACGACATGAAAACAATACAGTGTCTTCAAAAGTCTTGTCAACTGACTGCAATGCATGAAAACCCATGCATTGCTGGACAGAGGTAGATATCTTGGAGCTAAAAAGGTGTCAGGAAACAAGTGAGAATAGGAAGAGGCACCATGGTTTCTGCAGCAATAGTTTTCTTCACACTTGCTCTTTTGCTCATTAGCTTTCATACTACATAAAGTGTAATCCTTAAAAGCCTCTTTACTGTCCCCTGAGAACATACATACGTGGGTTATTTTCTAATGGCAGTACACATCAGATGAACCATCCTATTACTGCAAGCTCCAGGGCCTCTTTACTGCAATTATATCATCCTGCTCTATGTTATCTCTGCTACAAAGGAGGATTTTTTTAAACCAGGGCAAACATGAGAGACATTGTTAAACAACCAGAGGAACAAATCGTGCACAGAATTTCAACGAAAGCCTCAGAGGAAAAACGAGCCTTGGATTGCAGTCGAAATGGAAGAGGCCGTCATCCCATCAAGGTAATTCTCTGAACCTTTACAGCCTGCATCACCGAGCTGGCAGTCAGATAACTTAAACATCCCAGGGGAAGAAAGACTGCATGAAACAGCCACAAATGTTTTAATTTCTCAATGAGGCTACAGAGCTCAAAAGACAAAATGCAGTGGTCGAATACCTCTGCCAGTAATGTCACCCAGAGCTGTAATTAAGCATGTTTGGGGCTCTGCTGGCCTCAGCATACATCCTTCATGAAGAGCACATCCATGTTTGGAGGGACTTTCATTGCTCATTTTAGATTTGAAGCACATATTAGCAAGATAGCATTGTAATATGCGTACCAGCACTCTGAGTAAAGAGTAATTGGCACTTCAGCTGACAAGCGTGGCAGTCTGGCCCGAGTCCCTGAACTGCAAATCTTATTGTACTCTTACCACATGAACAGAGTCCTTGCATCTAAGCCCATGTCATGCAAATGCCTAAATTCACAGTGGTTTTGATGTGAAGTGCTTTGAGAGCTCATCTGCTCCCTTCCTTCTTCACTCAGTGTAGCGCTGGGAGAAGCTGAGCCATTGCCACCGGCAAACCCAAAATGCAGGTACCTTGACAACACGCTGCAGTGGCTCAAACAAGCAAAGGCCAAAAATAACTTCAAGAGCAAAACCTCAGCAGGGCTAACTGGTCTCGGTGCAATGCTATACAGATCTGGTCGTGCTCCTGCCCGCTCTGCAACTACTGCAGTGCCTTTCTGGTACTATACGCCTGCCCAGTATAGACCAGCTCAGCCTTTGCTGCA